ATATACAAAATGAAATCAATTGCAAGAGTAGTCAAATGCTTATGGCTTCACCTACACTGGCATTTGTAGCAAACTCTTCTTTACAATGGCTACTTAAAATTCAACCATAATCACAAAAATAGAAATATTAATTGCAGTTTATTAGGAAACAGCAGCACCCAAAGAGGGAGAAAGAGGAATATTGTCAGCTTGACTATTAAACTCTGGTAGTGAGCCAATTGCAAGGGAAAAAAAAAATCTGTGCCATTTCTAGCTGAAAGTGAATTAGAAATAGAGTTATAAATCCTCCAGTAAGATATATGATTCATATACCCCTGAATGAGCCTATGCTATTAGTCACCTCAACCAATCAGATATTTGCAGATATTTATGCTTGATTTATTCCTTCCTTTCATCTAAAATACTGATACCTCAGGCATGGTAAAAACTGCAAGGAAGACCAAAAGCATTCCCCCTTGGGACGTAACCAGGAGTATCACACATGATGAAACACACAAAGAGTTAGGCTCTGATTAAAGAGATAATGAGGGATGCTTCCACAACGGCATCTACACTACAGATTCAGTTGAGGTTGGAAAGCAAGCCAGTCTGTCACACAAAGCCGGTGTTCACTGATGGCTAAAGGCAGTCCAAGCAAACACGTCAAGGGGCACAGTAACATTTCCATTTACAAGCATATGGGTCCCCCTATATGAGGGCTTAACAACCTGTTTCTTGCTCTCCGTTAACTGGCAATCAACGTGCTGCAGACCCAGCATGACCTCAAGTTTAACTGCCTATATTATGGCAGTGTCAGAATCTCAGCACAGGCCATCCCTGCCCAATAGTATTTATGATCAATGGGCAAAGTAAAAAGACAGCTGATGGGAGTGAAAAAGCAGACAAACCCAGGTCAGTATGACAAGCGGTGGTCCAACTGGGCTGTCTGCCTAGCTTTTGGGGAAAGGTTTCAAAAAAAAAAAAGGGAAATTTTTTGAAAGAACAGTAGAGATATCTTTTATGAAAACATAATTATCAAGTGCAAGTCTGGGGGGATGGAGAGAAAGGAGAAAGAGCGTAAGTGCTTCCTAATCTCCATACCGAGTTTGAAACCAAGCACTCTTGCTCTTGAAAAAGATTAAGGGTTACTTCAGCCTTCTTCAAAAGGCTCTTCTTCAAAAGATGCAGATTCTAAAGCCCAAGGCAGGCACCTCTCGCAGTCCAGTGAACCCTATTTTGTATTGCACAATAACTGTTTCCTCAGATCTCTACGCAACGCTATGTCTTAGAAACCTTAGGAAAAGCTTTCCATAGATAATACTGTCCAGGGTATCTGCTGGAAGAAAGGTGCCCGACATCCTCTTTACAGATTACACGCAATAGCTCAGCCTGCAGATGCACAAGCCACACACCCACAGGACCTACACTGACCATGTTCCACTTAGCCAGCGCAAATGTTTTAGATCTTGGTTCCACTAACGGGTTCTACAACACCTACACACAGCACAGTCTGAGTATCTATTCCTGTGAAAATATGGAGATCTTAACAGATTTGAGTGCTCAACACCAAGCATTTGTTTTCTGGAAGTCTTCTAGACTCGCAACGTCAGAGGAAAGAAGAAAATGTGCATCCATATTATAAAGAAAAAGATTATATTGGGCAAGGTTAAATTCAGTCCAAAAGGATATTACTGAATCAGTTTACATATCAAGCGTAATTAAAAAGCAGGTAACATTTTAAAAGTCAGCCTATTCCGAGCATTGAGGAAAACAGTACAAATTCTTCAGTGCCAAAACCAGTGGAGTAGATAACCCTCTAAGTACTTCCTTGGTACATTTATAATTTACTTTAAAAATAAGTGATTTCACAGAAGATGATTTAGTTACATCTGAGCATTTACGATGGGCTTTTTGCAACAGCATTCGAGGTTGATCCATTGCTGCTTCTCATTCCCTTTCCAGCCCAAGCCATGGGAAACAGAGTGAGCTAACAGAGTAACAATGTGCGTATTCCCAAACTCCAACAGGCCAAGGGCCAGACCACGCTAATGCAAATTGTGATGCAAAATAAACACCTAACTGCATTGCCTTTCATTGATTAAATAGAAAGGAGGATGATTAATTCCATCCCAGGCCCCAAATTCACAGTATGCAGCTACAGGCAAGACTGGGAGGTGGAGGGGGAAGATCCCAGGAGCTTGGCCAGACTGAGCCGACTGCTTATGCAGTTAGCGAAAGACAGCATCCCTTCTTTCTGAATACCCATTGAAGCACTGGGGCCACTGAACACTTAAAAATGAGATCCTAAGACACAGAACAAGACTGTAACTGAAACACTGGGGCCACTGAACACTTAAAGAGATCCTAAGACACAGAACAAGACTGTAAGCGCGACCGTCAGAAACAAATGCATTAGATGCACCCACTGTATCAAAAGGCAATCTCCTGAGAACCTAATCAAGGAAAACAGGAAAATTGGATTTCAGATGAATGTAAGTGTCAAATGTTAATGTTGTCATGCGACCTATTGTTTGACATTGTCCTTGCTCAGAACAACTTCATCATTTAATTCAAATGCTATTTATTAGCCTGAGCAGTGCTTGCAGAAACCAAAGTTTGGTAGCATCTACAGTCCATCAAAAACTTTATTTTTCCACTGACCCTAACTACACCACAGTCCTACTTGCTATTCAGCATGTAGTTCTCCACTTGCAGGGGTTCTAGTTGAGCACAGATCTCTGACCCGAAACCATCAGTCTTTCATAGTTTGTTGGATACATGCTTTGGGCCAAGCCTGGTGAATGGAAAATGTGTTTTCTCTATCCCAGCATCAGGGAGGCGAAACAACGTAAGACTTAATTTGAAAGCAGAATCTGTAGTTCGCCTCAAGCACATCAAAACCAAGAGAAGTAGTTATTCACTGCACCTTTACTCTTTGGCCAGGATATTTAATCTGTTTAAGTACTGGCCATCCTTATATCCAGAACTGAAGTGCCTTTGCTGGCAAATTATATAGAGCATATCCACCCGAAGAGAATCCTAAGGCACAAGTCTTCTAAAAGGAGGGAGAAAAAGTAACATCTTTTTAGGTCAATTGCTGCAACAAGAATACAAAGGGAAGGAGTGAGCACTATTTAACCTGAGGTGAAGGTGGCAAGTCACAGCACTAGCAGCAAGATGCTGCTGCTTCTCTGTCCTCCAGAGTCTACGGAGCTTAGGCAGGCATCACCACGCTAACTCCAGTTTTTATTTATTTTTTAAATCATCACATATGGGACTTACGACATCATTTCATAGCAAAAATGCCAGCAGGGACAAGACATTATCATTCCCGACCAGAAAGGAATTTCTGCAGGGAGAAAGGTCTACTCAGAACAGACAATTGTCATGAGCTTAATTTAAATCAGAAAGAGCATAGGTAAGACCTTCAGTAGCCATATCCCAGTTAAATGCTCTAATCACGAGGTTCTTGACTGCTCAAAGGGGGATTTTGACTTTGAGAGAGGCTGGGAAGGTGGAGTCAACTACAAGCCATTCTGAGCTATCACCACTAGAATTATGAGACACAACAGGTAGCCCACCACAACGTCCTGTGTGACAGCAGCTGCATTTACACATTGAAATGTTCAGGAAACATTCATGGAGAGAGGTACTTTTGGTTGGAAAAAGCTGTTTCACATCATGCGCTAATTCATTTATGGCAGCAGTAGTTATGTGAAAATATATTAACAGAATAAAGCCTACACAATTTTTTGTAAAAAGCTCAGTAGTCTTCCTAGGCACTAACGAAACTTGACAGCTTTTCCAGAACAAAACTTTCCAAAATTAAAAGCTTTCTGTAATGGAACAAAAAAGTTTTTACATGCCTGTCTAAAAACTCCGCACTTTTTGAGGCATTTCAGGGTGCTGGCAAGCACTTAAGAGTGGGTATTGGGCACACAAAAATCTAGGATTTCCTCTCCTATCTGACTTCCCCTGTCCAAGGGAAGAGAGGACAACAATAAATTAGAATATTGGGCTAAATATATGACTTTCAGCTTTCACTGAAGGCTAATATCCAATTTCCATATCTAGTTCTTTTTGCTTTAGACCTCTGGTTTAACCAAACATGACAGTAAAAGGAAACCCGATAGGGAGTTGTGACCACAGAAGGGTGATTTTTAAAATTATATTTATTAAAATTATTTTTATTTTTCAAAATAGAAATGGCAAAAAAACTCAGTAACTTCTTTTAGGGCACACAAAAATCTAGGATTTCCTCTCCTATCTGACTTCCCCTGTCCAAGGGAAGAGAGGACAACAATAAATTAGAATATTGGGCTAAATATATGACTTTCAGCTTTCACTGAAGGCTAATATCCAATTTCCATATCTAGTTCTTTTTGCTTTAGACCTCTGGTTTAACCAAACATGACAGTAAAAGGAAACCCGATAGGGAGTTGTGACCACAGAAGGGTGATTTTTAAAATTATATTTATTAAAATATTATTTTTATTTCAAAATAGAAATGGAGAAAAAACTCAGTAACTTCTTTTAGGGATGAAGAGCTTTCTTTTTGAATCCCAGATGATCTTACTACTCACATATCACTGCCTCTTTTATTAGTTCTGCAATATCAATTGATTGGACAGAAGGGGAAAGCAGCATTCATGGGTCCTATTTCAAGTTCTGCCACTGATTTGCTTTTATGACTTTAAATAATTCATTCTATTTCTTTCTGTATCTCGAGTTTCTTCTTGTACAAGATGGATAGAAGCCAGTATTGCCTACATTACAAAGGTGCCAGGAAAATAAAGTCATTTTTAAGGTGCTCTAAGGACCTGGGAGAGAGAGTTATGAACTCCAGAAAGATCATTCACTGTGAATGACAGTATCTTAAAATCTTTACTATGGTAAACGATGTATTTTTGAAGCATTATCAGTTTCATTAACATTTAGAACATACCAAATCAGAAGAGGTTTTTTTCTGGCTTGCTGGGTAAGAAGCTTCTTCACTTACGTGACAGCTCTTGTTTTAACAGGAAAACTGCATTAGATCGCTACAGCCTTGAGAAAGCGGGCTTCACCCACATCCTCAATGCCGCCCATGGTCAGCGGAACGTGGACACAGGACCAGATTATTATCACGACATGACTGTGGAGTACCACGGAGTGGAAGCAGATGATCTCCCCACTTTCAAGCTCAGCCAGTTCTTTTATTCAGCTTCTAAATTCATTGATAAAGCGCTTCAGGATGAAAGAAGTAAGGAGGGTGCTGAAAATGGTTAAAAACAGTACGGTATTTACTCCATCTGATTATAAGCATAGTTCCACGGCATTCAACCTTGTGGGAATGAAACAAGTCCAATACAGTTTAACAGAGAATATAGAACTAGTAGCAGGGAACTAGTTTAAGAGAAGGCAGTGATGTAACTAGGACCTTTCTCACTGCAGAGCTGGTACCAGCCCAAGAGCCCCTTACCAAGCACTTTGATAAAAGTCCACATCACAGCTTGCATTAAGGTCTCCTGTCTGATAGAGATTTTTGTTTTGACTCCTTCATAAACACATCAGAAACAATCAGACACTGCATAGGTTCCACGAATTAGCTGTCTTTTCCTCAAATTAGTCCCTATTAAGAAAGGTTTAATGCATATTGGTTGCATAGCAGTGGGAGTGGAACACGGAGTGCTCTGCAGAGATTCAAGGCTGTCACTCCACAGCTTCACACTCTGCAGCATTAGACTCACTCTACAAATATAAAAACCACCTTCCTACCTGGCCAACAGATCTACCCCAAGCTATAACAGATTTCTCTCTCTGCCATCTTCCAAGCAGCAGGGGGCCAAAACAACTCTGACAGCAGAGATCTAGAAACATTTCATTAAAGCCTTTGTAATTTCTCAGCTTGATTACTACAATTCATTATTTGCTGACCTCCAGCAGTGTTCTATCAGAAAGCTTTCCACTGATGTGAAGTGCTACAGCCTAGGCCTCACACTGGCTTTCAATATTACTCCTACTCCTTCCCCCACATGCTTTTTTTTTTTTTAAATCACTACAGGATATTTTACCAGAAACCAGCTGAGAAACTTAAGACTTTCCTGCTGACCTACAAAGCCCTTAATATCAGAGGGTCACATATCAAGTTTCTAGCCTCGTGTCAGCTTCTGTTCTTGGCTGTTTAGCTCAGCTGCAGCCAGCTACTACCTAGCTTGCCCCCAGTAGCCAGCCAGGTCTTTACAATTTTACCCTTTCAGCAAGTACAGTCTACAGCAACAGTCCCTTCCCTTGTTCAGGAGAAAGTCTTGAAAGCAGTTCAGTTTTAAAAAAATCAAAGCCCTTATAGCAGGAGAAACTGCTTCAGGAGCTTACTTGCTTGTGAAGAAAGGTACTTGGCATTTCAAAAAAAGTATGTCTGAAGCACTGCCTTTGGGAAGGAGTGGATAACTCACACGCACCTGTGTCTAGCCCTGGCTGGAGGCCAGAGGTCAGTATCAGACTGGAGTAGCTCAAATAAGAAATGCAGACTTCCTCACTCCCATCACCCTCCTGTTCCTGTAACACCTTTGTCTGCTGCATGGAGGTAAAGAAACAAGCACAAGGGAAGCAGCAAAGGCTAGGAAAAAAAAACACACCCTTGCATCCCAATAAATATTGAGGCAGGGAAGGATGGGGGGCAGGGGGGAGACAAAAAAAAGAAACCTGCACTGAAGTAGATACTACCAACTGCAACCATTTCTGTAGCTGTGCGCTGCCTGCCACATTCACATGGTTTTTAAACAAGATAGTTAGGATCTTTTCCGATGGAGCCAATAAAATAAAGAATTACTGTAACACTCGAAGAAAAAGAGCAAGCTCTTAACTTTCTCATGAGGGAAAAGTACACTAAATGTACATCTCCTACCCCAGCCAAAGATATGCATAAAGGCACATATGCATGGCCCACGAGATTGAGGTTGAATGCACGACAATAGCTTTCCAATACCCATTGAAATTGGAACAACACTGGAACAACAGAATGACTCCAGAAGCTAGACTAAAGAGTAGACTGATATCTCTTACACTTACAGGAGAAAAGACTAGCGGCAAGTAACTAGCGCTCTCCTCCAACAACATAAATGCATTACTTGCGAATGCACATCTAGTGTAGAAAGGTGCTATGTATTTCAAGTGCCTAATGAAAGGACTATTTGCGTGCATCTTCGTGACTGACAAATAGCATCCAGATTCCTGAACAGGATTTTATAGTAAGTAACCAAGTACCTATCTCCAGTGGTAATAACATGGGACTTCAGTATATGGTGCTAAATACTTCTGACCAGTAACACCATTACACTCATTTGCTACTTTGCATTAGAATTTAGAAAACGCAAAGAGAGGGAAAAGGGGAAAAAGAAAAAAAGTTTCAACTTTTGTGACCAGAATGTAGGTATTAATGCATTTGCTTTGACTGGATCACATTGGTTGGGGTGTGACCTGCAGCCAGCCAAGTGATCAAATTCATTGAATACATGTCTTCATACAATGCTTTTTGCTGGGAAGCTGCTCAATAGTCAATGTTGTTGAAACAAGTTGTCAGGCAAATGAAGAGGCCTCTTTCTGCAACAGGCCAGAAAGCTTGACAATTTGGATGCTGTCAAAACACAGTCCTAATGCAGTAATTCTGACTTAAACCATCACAAAGATTTTGAAGGTAAGAAACTCCCTGATCAGAGCAGTATTTGCAGAATTTAAGCATGGGCAGATGGACTTAAGAACAGTGAAAGTAGCTCAGTTATAAGAGTAAGTTTTAGAGGCAAATGAACTGTTCACAATTATGCATGCTATCATTCAGCTGTGCATAAATATTTCCCAAAACATGCAATTCAGACCATAGGACAGCTTAAAATTTATCCCAGCGAGGCCTGATTAACCTGAAAGGAAGACATTATTTTAAGAGGTTTTTAAGTTCCCTTCTATGCTACAGATTTACTACTCATTCTCTTGGTGTCTTAGTTCCTCAGAATGTAAAGTAGAGGGGAATACCGTTTTCATGTGAAGATGTCATGGCAAAAAATACACTAAAGACTGAGATGATAAAAGCTATGTGAGAAGAAACATACGAGACAGATACAAAGACCCAAGGCACTTGACCAAAGACACCTCAACATTCATCACTCCATCCGACTCTGGAAAGCGAGTGCTGCATCTAGACACATTTTCAAGAAACACAAGCCCAAGACAAGTGACCAAAATAGTTCAGGCACCCGTCACCACTCAGCAGACCTCTGGCTCTGTACACTGGTATTTTATATTCAGCCGGGATAGATATAAGTGGTCAGAATCAAAGACTGCAAGAGCGGACTCCCTCTTGGGGGGAAGAGAGTTCAGACCGGTCCTTACATCAGAACTGAAAAGACTACAAAATAGTACAGAAGGGACGTGGCCCTGCGTTTTGCTGTAACAGGCAGTCAGATCTTGAATATTCACACACAGGGAAGGACAGACTTCATTTTCCTACAACCAGGAGGCATTTCAGAAAATCGTACGGCCATTTTTTGCCTTTGTTAACACAATATAAAACTGTACATTTTCTCCTAGATCACCTGCATTTGCCACCCACACAAAGCAAAGCCTTCCTTCTCCTATCATGTATTTTATCACCTCAAGAGCAACCCATTTACAAGGTGGGAAGCTCTAAAGAGAAGCACGAAGGGCTGAACAAATGAGTTTTCATCCGTTTCAAATATTTGCAGTAATAATAGAAGGGATTATCATTTTCCAGGAGAGGAAGAGGCACTTTTAGTTATCAGAGAGACTGGAATTTTGCCAAGATGCCTCTAAGACTATCTGCTGGGATTAGGATGCAGACTGTAACCATTAATCCTCCAGTGTTGGCAGTTCTTGATGCATCCATTACACAGCAATGCTGCTTGTGCCAAGACATCCTCTTGTGCCTGGAAGCAAAGGAGTTAATCGGCAGGAGTCATGGCTTTGCACCCAACACTTCTCACTAGGCATAGCTAACAGAGATAAACTATTATTGGCCCCGATAGGATTTTTTTTTTTCCCCCCCTGTAGCAATTCAGCTTAGCAGGGTGTTAGAGAGAGTGCTCCAAATCTACTTCCTTCAGCAGTTCAACCCTTTGTGAGACCCCCTCAAGGGCTCTGAATCATTTTTGGAAATCTTTTGAAGTGTTTCAAAACCTGTCAATCAGACCTGAACCCACTTATTGTTCTCTTCCTCCACCTCCCCCAGCCACAGCAAATGAGGAAGGTTTCACTTTGGCTTACATCCTTGCTAGTACCTGAACCCAAGGACTTTCTGCCTCTGGAAGTCCAAAGTTAAACCAAGCCATGTCAAAGCTAAATCTTGAGGCACATTTATTCAGAGATTAAAACTATTAGCAGAGAATCTGCATTGACAGTATACGAGACAGGCCACTACTGCAAGGAGATGATCATATAAAACAGAGAGGTGGTGGCGGTGGGGAAATGTTACTTTCATTCGACATGATAGGGTAAGGGTGACTAGCCAGAGATTTCTAAAGAAGCTTTTCTACAGGTTAAGAAGTGGTTTCTTTCTATCCCCCTGGTTATATGCCTATTAACTTCTATGGCACTTCTTATCCTCTGCCCTCAAAATACCACTGAGCCTTAAAAAAGCCTCATTAGTTGTATTTTACAAACGAAGTATTTGGGCATAAAGCGATGCAATCTAGCTCTTGAAGGACATTATTTTTTGTTGTTCTGACAGTAATCAAATTTGGTTAGCTTTTGTGTCTAGCTGGTAGAACTGAGAAAGACACCTCCATGCATCTCATTTATCCTCACGGAAGGATGGTTCAATAACATACGAAACCCTCCCACACCCTTGTGCTTTGATCATTATGCCCAAACGCAGAATTACATACACGCTGCTTGTGAGGCACACAAGATTAGGCTGCAGCAGGGCTTGCTATGGTACTTAATGCAAGGCTGCAGCCCCCAGGCCTTCTCTGCAACCTTTGTTCACAAAAAAATTCAAAGTTACCTGGTTTAGGATTAAATGCGTAATCTCCAATGTAGATGGTGTTCAGTTACTACAGTAAGATTTACAGCCTCAGTTTCCCCACCTGTAAAAAGATGGACCTTACAAAAGTGCTGGTAAGGGTAGCCAAACCACCAAACGCAGCAGGGGCACTACAGAAACCTTCACTGTCAAAACCAAGAAATTACCCAGTATCATCTCTGCATCATCTCTCTTTGTTTCCACAGACAAGGTTCTGGTTCACTGTGCTATGGGTCGCAGCCGGTCAGCCACATTGGTCTTGGCTTACCTGATGATTTACAAGAACATGACAGTGGTGGATGCCATTGAGCAAGTATCAAGACACCGATGCATCTTGCCGAACCGGGGCTTCTTGAAGCAGCTGAGAGAACTGGACATAGCGCTGGCACTGCAGAGGAGGAACAGCAAAAACAGCCTACCATCTGACAACAACGAGAACAGCACCACAATCTAGTATTGTTCCTGGCAGGGCTGTGCTACTGGAAAAGAAACTCCATAAAAGGAGGGGAGGGGAAGGTGTAGTTAATTACAGAGTCACAAGGATCATTTGTTATTTGGAAGGAAAAACAAAGTCATTTCAAACGCCGTCAAGATGAGAAAGAAGGGAAGCCAAATTTAAAACCCATCTTTGAATGTTCCAGGCTTAGCAGAATTCCATGTGACATCAACAAATAAATTTTACCCTCTGTAAAAGAGCTTTTACAGCACAAAAGCAGGCACAACTTAAAAGAAAACCCTTCTAGCCGAGTACCCCCCAAATCCTGATCCTAACCCAAGCACATGGCCTTTAAAAGAGTGGAGCTAGACATTCCTGAAGAAATTTTGCAGGAAAAATACCGAGATGGTAGCAGCACAGATGAATTGTTTAGTCCCAGAGTCCTGAAGGATTTTGCAGGAGTTTGCCTTTCTGTGCTGTTTCCTGGCATCCCCATTTCTTCTTTCACAGTAATAATCTAAGGCAGCACAGCATTTAGAGAGCCTCCAGATGAGGATCAACTACCCAGTCTTCACAATGGACTTTGCAGCAGACCATGCAAACTAGAAACAAAGCAAGACCCTTGAGAAGGTCTGATGCATAAGCAAGACACAAGGGACAACAATACAAGGAGATAAATACACATGACATTTCAGCAGTTTCAGTTTTAACTTGTTTTTCCCAAATGCTTCAACTGCCTGAATTTTAAAAAGGTCCTATACATACAGTATCCAAGCCAATTTACTAGTCCACAGAAAAAAAAAAAAAGACTGAGAAAATTGTGTTGTGACTTGTTTTCCTGTACTTGAAAAAACTAACAGCTAGAAAAACAGGATGTCCTTTACACTGCTAAGAGGAAGTTCAACACTGAACTTGTGCAGCCCTAATAAGCCCCTAAATGATAATGGATTATAACCAGTTTTAATGATATTTTAGTTTTGATTTAGAAGGCAAGAGACACAGGTGAAGCCTTTAAAAAAATCTCAGTGACCTGACTAACCAGGAGAAAGCTGCTGCTGTACTTCCAGACACCACTGTTTATATTTACCACTACCAAATGTTTCCTCCTATCTCAGCTTTAGCCAACTTAATACATTATTGTGCTCCAATACAGTTGCTAATAATTGTATTTGTTGACAGAAGTAGTCCAAATACACAAATGGGGACACCGGATCTACTTTTCTGCCTAAACTCGTTCAGTTTACTCTATTTGAGACAAACCATCAGTAACTGTGTTTTGACACAGTGAGAGTTTTGCCACCTCAGCAGTATTTGATAGTCTTAAAATATACTGTAGAGGAAGATCACAATTAAGCCGTGTTTACCTTTTTTGCATCTGCAAAAAAGTCACATCATCACCCTCCCTGCTAGAATTCTGCCTAATTCAGTGTATCAGGTAAGAGCTATTTACTGCCTCAGTGCCCGAGAGGAACGACCTAGCCACCGAGAGCACAGGAGACTTCTCTTGGTCTTTACCAGCTGAGGAAGACTTTGTAACTTTGGTGCACTATGGGCTGTAGAAGTCTTGGACACTTTAAAAAGAGAACACAGGGCAGAAATGTGCCACTGAGAACTGCGAATATATGCTACAAACCAAACAGAGTTGAGCACAACTTTAAACCATTTTTTGTAGATGTTAACAGCTCTTTACAGGCTTAGCATGTCTAGTGTGAAGGCTTTCCTATTCCTTCACTTTCTTTTGGGGCCCAAAGCCCAGTAAATCATTCCTCTCCAAACAGTAACCGTAGCCAAGGCTGCAGGCACCCATAATGCAATGCTTTTGACTTCTCATTTGTATTTATCTGTGTAACAAAGACCTTATCTTCAAATTCTCAGACACAGCAGAACACAATAAATACAACTAGACTACTGTTAAAAAACAAATTAGACATCATGATGTGAACAATATTCATGATACACACAAACTCTGGGACTTACAGCAAATTAAGTATTCCTACACCTGGATTAGAAAAAAACCCAGAAAAAACAGAAATAAAAGGAAACTCAAAAGGAAGCCACTTGACACTTCAAAAATAAATGAGCAGTCACAATGTTGGTTTAAGAAGTCAAAGAATTCTTGGAAGGGGTCCCTCAACTCTTTCCATCTACTTCCATAGACATTCAAATACACCTTTTCAGAGCACCTTACCGTCTACTGCAACTTAATTCACAACCCAGATATGCAACAGCTCATATCTCAGTCAAGTTACAGTTATTTTCTTTCTTGTATCCTGCATGGTAGCTTGATGACTGCTGTAACTGGAAGAGGATTTGTAGCTGATTTACATGCAGAATTGTATTTGAACAAGGTTTTCTGGGGCCTGGAGATGGATATTTCTTTTGCAGTCTAGGACTTGAGCAAATACACAGGTAAAATTTTAATTTCCTGAGGCCCAGCTGCTTTTGGTGGAGACTGACAAAACTTTCAAACAGCAGCCTCCCAACTACCGATAGAAAGCAAAATACTAGAACTCTTAAGTAGCTCCCACTCATTTTGTCGTGCATAGCAAATTAAGAAATTCGCACGTGGCAACTCTGACATAGCAATAGAAGACTGTATCAACAATTTCCAAAGGACAGGATTCCAAGCTACTCAGAAACTACGAGCTGCTATTCTTGCATGGAGATGAAAAATAGCACAAAATTGATTTCTCAAGAAGTAAATCAATAGAACCCCGCATTCCAGTGTTTCTACACATACTACTTGAAGGCCTTAAACATGGCTTAATTAAGCTTATTTATTCTTATTTAGTAGATGGGGAAAAAACTACCAAGAACTTAAGTTACCCAACTAAAGTTATGATAAAGCCAAAACTGTAATCCTACCTTTTATCTTCTTACAAACTCCCTCCCTACTCCACAAAGCTCAAAACAGCAACTTTTGATCAATGCACACCCCAGAGCTTCACTACGGAAGAGCTGACCTGTCTAAACAATGCTGGAAATACATAGTTTTAATACAGACAAGTATTAAAAGTAAAGGGAAGAGGAAGAAAAACAGTCATAGGTCTTTACTACATTGGTCAGTTTGTTTGCTCCTATAGGTGTCAGTCTCTACAGAACAGGCTGTTATAGGATCACCCTCAGCACTACAGATAATTGCCAAGCCCAGTCTTTCTATTTACCACACTGTATTTAAATGGAGTTTGTTTCCATCAACTCGTCTGCCTGATGGACAAATTAAATAGCTTATAAAACTCAAACCACACAGACAGTGATCTAACATGAAAGTTTTGTACATTTAGAAGTCCTCTGTTTCCACTTACATCACACAGCTTCTTACAAAGTTAGTCAAAAATCACTTATATTTTGTCCACTGCTAGGAGATGAGGTAGCCAGAGCGTGACAACACTTACCATTCCTGTTTTGCTAAAGGGCTAGAGTGCAGCTTTCATGTGACAACACTTACCATTTTTTGCTAAAGGGCTAGAGTGCAGCTTTCAGGAGTACTGTGATTTGGCAGCTTCCAGATGAAGTAGGTTCTGCTCCAAAGACAAGTATCTTCCCTAGAACCAGGTCTTGCCTGAAGCACTCTGCTGGTACAGCTATGCTAATTAAGCAGTTCTGAAGTAAACATACTTATTTACTTCCCAGCTTTTTTCCCTACCATTCTCCCAGAATCAATTAGACTAAATCAAAAAAGGCAAAAGTGCTGGAACACGTAGCTTCCACAAAGTAGGCAACCATTGCAAGTTGCTAACTAGCAAGTGCTAGCAGCACTGACTTCACCTACAAGCCAGGTCTGCAAGCAATGGACACGCAGAACGAGGCAAGTTTATTTCATTCTTGCAAATCACTAGTGGTGTGAAGTATCCCATTTGTCAACCCAAAGGCTAAGATTGCATGGGCAGGGAGACCTCCTGCATTTCACAAGAATCATCTGTTGCAACTCTGTGAATTCTTTTGAGATACTAAAAGAAAAGAGCTAATTCTCAGCTGGGATAGTGCTATAGCACAGTCAAAACTGACACTGCAATGGCCACACAATACGTAGAACAGGTAGATCTGTCAAGGAAAGACAGCCGCCTTATAAAACAGAAATTGTAGTGCAGTAATGCAATTTACAGCTGAATAGTCACTATGAGAAAAGATGTAGGACAGCCATTTGTCCTCCTGAAAGGAATTCAGTTCTGAAATTAAAAAAAAAGAAAAAAAAAATTGGAAACTTGCCTGTTGTGCACACACAATACATCATTTTCCACCCAAGTTTTAATCTATGTATTGCAAATACAGAATTTTAGCAATATGCTGGAGTCAGGATGCTCCGTTTCAGGTTAGCACATGCAGAAATGGCAAGAAGGTCTGATTTGCCTGTATGTTACAGGCTTGGAAACCTGAAGCTAAACAGCAGTGGATAAAGACCCAGGCCTTTTTCACTCACTGTAAAACATACAAATGAAAGATCACAAAACATAGTGCTACTTTGAGAGGCAATTATTCAACAAAGATACAAGGTCCTAGTTACACACACTCGAAGGCTGCATGTTAACTGTGTTGAGTTCACCTTCCCTTTTCCTACGCATAAAAAAAGGTGACAGTGACTTTGTGAAGACAATCACACATGTAGTTTAAGTACTACGAATACTCTGCCTTCAAAAAGCAAATTTGACAGTGTAAGTGCACGAACAAAGATCTGTTATATTGTGCTCTCCTTCTCCAGCATTCCGAACTCCTAAAATACAAGTTACTCTGAATTACCATTTGACCAGCAATTTTAGCTCCCATTCAGATCCACTATTTTAGACTGCTGCCCCATCATATTAACATTGAACAGGTTATGCGCATAAATCTGTAGTATCCATTTCTTGATTTGGCAATGCCACACACTAAGGTTTTTATTTAAATACATACGTATTTCTCTGACTTTTGAGCATATAAAATATCACCTATAAAGCTGCTTTATATACTGGAATGGGGACATACAGTTTTCAGTCAAGATGACCAATCCTTTCACCTTAGCTACCAACCCTCCCGCAGTTTCAGTGGGCTAGAGGGGGGATTCAGTGGAAACATTCACATTAGAAGCATTTTGACAAATTGTTACAAGGATTTTTTTTCTGGTGCAGATTCACACGCACCCAATGTGAACTTGGTCCATTCACAAGCTCCACGTAGACAGCCTTCTTGAGTTTTACAGACCTTCTATTGCTAGAAGTGTTCATATATGTGTGTATGTGTTTGTGTGTGCACATATACATGCATATACACAGAACTCGGAGGTTCAATGCAAGATTTGTATCGTCTTGTAAACCAGCAACAATGACAAAGGAAGAGATTACAATTCTATCGTTAAGATACAGTCCAAAACATCATGTCTGTTACTATCATATACCCTTTTACACATATATTAACACTTTCTATAGGAAAGAAGTTTCATACATTAAATATTGACAACCTTGTAATGTATTAAATACATATTTATTCAATATTTTATTAAGATTATTAAAAAAAATAATCTTAGATACTCTTTATTTTCACAAGGTGTATGCAATTATGATGAGTAACCTACACTTAGGCTCAAACAGCCTAATCCAAACCCCATCAACTTTAATGGGCTTTAGATCAAGCATGTGAGAGCACTGTAACAAACACTGTTTCAGGAGGTAATTCCCATGCAACATCAAACTATGACAAGACACAAGAGGCTAAAAATGGCTCATCATAATTTATTTTATGTTAAAATGTACAGCTTGGGGGGGGTGTTTTTTTGCAGTTTTTATTTTTGTTTCTTGGGTGGGGTTTTTTTGTGTGGTTTTTTTTTTTTTAAGTGACTGACTAAAAAGATAACAGATAAATACAAGAGTGTCACTGGGTCCTATTTTTACATGTATCAAGCCTCTTCTGTTCGGCCCTTACAGTCACTCTGTACAGGTACAAAGGCTACAAAAAAGGAAGCAATATATTTTTTGTGTGTTTTTTTTTTTTTAAGTGACTGACTAAAAAGATAACAGATAAATACAAGAGTGTCACTGGGTCCTATTTTTACATGTATCAAGCCTCTTCTGTTCGGCCCTTACAGTCACTCTGTACAGGTACAAAGGCTACAAAAAAGGAAGCAATATAAACAGACACAAATAACTTTTGCCTTTTTACATGCGATCTGTAAGCTTAGTTTGAGCTATTCACACGCTACTGCTCTATTTTTTCCCTTAAAAAATAACTCCAATATTTTATAAGGATAGAAAAATCTACAGATGGAAAGAAAATGTAAAGTTAGAGGCATTTCCATAAAATAGCAACTTTACACCAAATTCACTACTTTTTTTTTTAAATCCTGCCAAGTATTTGGACATATATGAAAATGTTTCAAAACTTGACAAATAAACACTGAGATGTTTCAATCAACAAAAAAACATAACAGTATTTATAAAACAGAAAGCTGCCTTTTTTCCTACCCCCAGCCCCAAAGAAACTGGTCACAAAAATGGAAAAGAGTCTCAACTTTACACTAAACATACAGCAATAAAACCCTTTGAACTAACCAAAATGTGAATAGCTTTTGCAGCTTTTTTTTATTATTTTTTACAAGTTTTATAATTAACAAAAATATAGTTCTGTTTTTTTTACCCCTCAAACTAGGGTAACCTAATCAAGGCAAAAAAATTAAGAAATGGCTTACTGTTAAGCACAACACTTGTACAGTACTACAAAATGCACTGTCACTAACAAAGACATTAGCGGCATGCGGAAGTGTCACCTTCAGAAACAAAATAATACAATAAAAGAACTGCTAAAAGGCATTTACATGTGGGGAAAGGAGAGAGAAAAAGCTCACGATCCAGTACTGTCTGATAGTTTTGGAGTCTATTTATCCACATTTTTAATGGGAGCAGGCACATAAAATGGCTCTGAACCATCAGCTGCTGTGTAATTGCAGTTCATAGAAAGAGTTCTTCCTTTCCAGAGAACTTCAAGCTCAATGAAATAAACAAAAAGTGGAAAACCACCTAATTCCCCCCAAAAGAAAAGAGAAGTTAAATCCCACAAAGTTAAAAAAACAAAACAAAAAAAACAAAACAAGAAATAAAGAAAAAAGAAAAACTTGTATAAGGCTTTCTGCTGCATACAGCTTTTAAATGGTGCCAACAAACGTTTTTGCATTCACACCAATTGCTGGTTTTGAAATCGTACTCTCCAAAAGATATTTGTGCAGATCAATCCAATATGCCAGTTTGGTAGTCTGTCTCTCCAAAGGGCCTACCTTCTCATGTAGGATCCATTAAGAGACTGTTTAGACATGCCTGTATTCATGTAGCCATGATGCCCCGGAGGAGTGTACATCATGTTACTGTGGGGTGCTGTCTGCATTGGTTGCTGTGCATATGGCTGAGTTCCCATCATCCCCATCTGCATCTGCATAGGGTACTGGGGTGTTTGATTCATATACCCATGATTACTGTGATATCCACTATTCATCATCGGTTGGGACATACTATAACCATTCATAGCATTAAGGGTATTCATATTCATGTTCACTGAATTGACATTATAAGCTGGGGCTGGCATCAAATTTACACTCATGTTCATACCACGCTGCATTGTTAAGGTCCGCGCAGGCCCTTGCATGGCCACAGTCTGTGAAGCACGCCCATAAATTTGTGGCTGATGGGCTGCAGCAGCAGGTGGCAGAGGCGTGGATTTGGTTCTTACAGAAACATGACCTTTGCTGGCCATCTGA